TACCGGCTTATTTCAGATATGGAGGCCTCTCTTTCCTTTCTGAATTGACTACCCTTTGTCAAGAGTTTCGGGTCAAAGAAATCATCCCATCCGATTAGGGCTTAGCGGATTTTGTCTTCATCCTCAAAAGAGGTGACAGAACGGATTGCCTAAACTACGCAGACAGCGTCGCGTCCAAAATGCTAGCCTCCCTACTTTTACGGAAGCTCAGCCGAGTAGACGAACGGCATATACAAGAGCAGGCTAGGTTTAGAATAGGTAAGGGTTGTATTGATCACATGTTTACTATCCGCCAGACGCTCGAGCACCGTCGAGCTTGTAGCCGGTCTAGCATGGTTTGCTTTCTGGACATACGCGCCGCATTTGATTCAGTTGACAGAGCTGCACTCTGGGGTTGTCTTCTAAAGATTTAACATGCCCGTGAAGCACGTTAACATACTGCAAATCATTTATTCTCGAACTACGGGCCCGGTGCGGGTGTACGGTGGGCTTTCAACCCTCTTCAGTATCACTAGTGCCTCGAAAAAGGGTCATCCCGCATCACGCTTCCAATTCAACTTCGCTATGGATGATATCTTAGAGAGTGCATTTGGAAACTGTGGATATGGTGGCGTCGAACTAAACCCGGGCGATCAGTTCCCTGACTTGGACTATGCTGACGACATTGTTGTAATCTGTGACTCTTCGCAGACTACCCAGAACATGCTGCGCATGTTGGAGATGTCTGGATCACAGTTCGGAATGACTTTTACACTTTTAAAACGCAAGGTCTTCTGCCAGGACCGATCAAAAGCTACGCTTACCCACATCCTCCCCGGCTCTTCTTTGGAATTAGTCGACAAGTACGTTTATCTTAAGAGTTGAATCAGGGTGAGCGGACTAACGGATGAGATTTATCTACATATTATCAAAATCAGAGTAGCCTTTGTTAACCTCAGAAAACTTTGGCGCCGGCATAATTTCGGTCTTTCTATAAAAGCTCGAGTCCACAGTACGAGCAGTGATCCTGTTTGGCTGCGAGACCTGGACCGTTCGAGCAAGCAATGTCCAGACTGTCTGTTTTCAATCACCGCTGTATCCGGAGCATCGTTCGTGGGCGTTGGCAGTATCGCATTAGCAATGATGACGTTCAACATCAGATCTTCAAGTGAGACAGTCTCTGCCAACTAGAGAGCAGCATAATTCCTTGCGTGCGCTCCGGTGACTGACGCACGCCCTCCGTATGCCTACTCAACGGTTTTCCTGCCGCGCTTTGTTTATAGCGAGCACACCTGATTGGAAACGTAACCGAACATGGTCTGGAATCGCACCCAATGGAGAAGGCATTGTGACACTTTTACCCTGACTACTTTTCCTCCCCTTGTTTCTTGCGTTCCATGTGTTGTGACTGTCAACTATATATATATATATTATATATATATATATATATATATATATATATGGTTGTTGCGTTTGTAGCACTTTAAGTAACTTGTGGACATTTCTTACTTATCACGGATTTGTTGCTAACCAAATTACTTCATATGGTAATTTAGCGAAGAGTTATGCCACCGTATCTGTATGCATTATTGGATTTATTTTATTTCAGCTTGTCGTTTAAAGTGAATGACTGTTGTTTGATATCCCTGGTATGTTGCGCTTGATGTGTATGTTGACAAGGTGCCTACCTGTCTATTACCCACTACATCGTTCATCACTGGCTCCAGGAGACAGTTGGTCGTTGCTGGAGGGGACGGGGGTGCACGGTTCTTGTGGCCGTGTTAGGCTCAAAGAGCGGTTCCATGCACTCAGTGTGGAGCGGACTACGGTCCAGCCACCACCATATATATATGGTTGGCGGCATCCGGTTTCGGATTTGCCTCTCACTGTGGCCAGCCACAGGACGCCTGCGCCTACAGAGGGACCATGGATGGCTTGCGCTGCATCACCCACAGCTCCATCCACACACCCTATATCCAGTGTAAACCCGAAGGAATACGAGCGGGAGGTATGCGGATGGGAGCCACGTTTCATCAACGGAGTCGGCCCACATTCCTTCACAGACAAACACAAGCACGTTGTATTTGGGGAATCAAGCGCACACAAGGCGGTGGCTGGACCGTAGTCCGCTCCACACTGATTGCATGGAACCAATCTTCGAGCCTAGCACGACCACAAGGACCGTGCACGCCGTCCCCTCCAGCAACGACCAACTGTCTCCTGGAGCCAGATGGACGAGATAGTGGGTGATACACAGGTAGGCATCTTGTCAACATGCAAATCAAGCGCAACCACACCTAGGATGTCAAATAACAGCAAATCACTCAAAATGCTGAGATCGAATGAAGTAAATGCATATAAAGACATAAGTACTCGCTAAATGAGCATATATAAGAAATTGGTTATAAGTGAATCCGTGATAAGTACAAAATGTCCGAGTTATCTGAAAAATACCACGCGATACAATTAAGCAAGTTTATCACAATTTGCATGAGCGACATGTGCAAATTGTGAGAAAATTAGCAAGTACGCAGAACGAACCAAATAAAATGTAATGAATTTTATTCACATTAAGAAAACCTAGTTTAAGTGTAATTTGGTTTAGCTCAACTGCAGTGAAGAAGCATCATGAATGCTACATCAGTCCCAGCATGCGGCACACATACATACATGGTTGGTGGCGTCCGGTTTCGGATTTGCCTGTCACTGTGGCCAGCCACAGGACACCTGCACTACAGACGGACGGACCATGGGTGGTTTGCGCTGCACCACCCACAGCTCCATCCACACACCCCATATCCAGTGTAAACCCGAAGCAGGGAGGCATGTGGATGGGTGCCACGTTTCATTAACGGAGCCTGCCCGCACTCCTTCAACATGCACAGCAGCAGCGTTACCGTCTATCTATGTACGGCATCGTGCGTACCAGATATACACAAGACAGTGGCTGGGCCGTAGTCCGCACCACATTGGATGGAACCACTCTTCGAGCCTAGCACGGCCACGAAAACCGTGCACCCCGTTCATCTCAACAACGATTCGGTCCGCTTGAGCCAGTAATCGAGGTGGACGGTGATAGACAGGTAGCAACCTTGTCAACATTCCCATCAAACGCAGCCATACTGAGGATATCAAGCACCCAACATAGAATTCGGAGAAAAATAAACACGCAATATTGATACAAAGTACGCAGCACAATAACAGAGCTGAACAAATCAAATAAAGTTGCATACTTTGTATCCAGAGTAACATCCAGTCTAAGTGCATTGAAAAGGACAGCAATGGAAGAAGCAACTTACTACACACGACGATGTCATCGCAGGATGTCCGGATTTAACTTCGATCCTAGTGAATACCAACGGAACGAAATATCTCTCAAGGCCAGGCCAGGGGACCAAGGTAGCCTGACAACAAACTGGAGCAGTTCCCTGGATGGGCGGGTCAGGAAACAACAGTGGACCGGGTCGCATACGACCACCGCGTGTGATCCGCAACATGGAAACATTGTTCGCCACAAAAAGGCCCCATGGGTGGGTTAAAAGCCGATGAAGGTAAAGGGGCAAAGTACCAACCTGAAAGGAAGACATAATGGATTCGTCACATATTAGACCGTTGAATGATAAGAGTATCCAAGGATAGACAACGAAACAAATCGTAGCAGACAATGATTTCAAGGATGCATCTTAAGAAGCAGATTGAACTAACAAGTAGCATAAACTCACTTGGGAGAGTGAACCGGGCTCAGTGGAAAACGATTGACCATCCTTTAGGAATCCAATTACTCCGATTTTATTAGCTCGGCAATAGTCGTCCAAGGCATGTCGTTGCCACAGTGGAAGAGCAATGTAAGCCGCGAAATCCTCGAAGATGATCAATCCGATAGGGAGTAAATCCGGTCGTTCGAGACGGTCAAGAAAAGGAGAAGTAGTCGGTCTTGGTATCTCACTCAGATAGAACACTTCATAGGGAACCAGGAGGTGTTCCATAATGGTGACCCAATATCTATTGTCCTTTGAAGCAGTAATCAAGAGAACAGTAGATGGAGTGACTTCATTGATTTCAGAGGGCTCGATGGGCGGAAAACTTGGAACAGCTGAGGCTGTTGTAAGATTATGTGCTTTGCACTCGCTCTTGAGCGGTTTTAGAGGATAGAGATCCGGATTCAAGGAGGGGTATTGGTACTTGGTGAATAAAAGTGATTCATCGAGGGTAGGCCGAAAAAAGGATATGGGGAAAGGATATGTACTATAGATGCAAATGGCAATAGCCACAGAGAAGGCGCAAACAACTGCTTTCACTGGCCGAGGTTTAGGAAGATAGCGCAGGGTAAATGGCCAAAGAGAGGCCATTGGAAAGGAGATGATTTAGGGGAGCATTTTCACGATCAGACGACAAAAGCGATGCAAATGAAGAGGGATGGCTGAAAAAGTTGAAAATGGACGTGAAATTGGAGCCGGGAAATCCAATGTAAGAAATGCAAGTGGGCGTTGGGCAAATGCAAAATCAGATTCTGTATTCAAATCAACGGGGAAAAGGGTTTTGATGTGCAAGTTTCCATATTGTTCATCGTTTAACGAGTTGTTCCTGTACATCATTCCAGCTTGCAAGCGGCAGCTGTTTGCTGAACGAAGACCATACCGCCATGCCCTAAAGATTGCCAGACATGGTTTTTTCCTCGTTATTTGTAATAAGAACTACGTAGAATGGTATCTGGTGACAATGATCTTTTGATCTTCGCGGCACTGTGACTGCAAACAGTCAGAGAATACCTGGGCCCTAAATGAGACTGCGGGTCGCTTGCGCCTCACACCTCACAGGCAGAGCAAACACGAAAGAATAAAACCGGGAGACATGATTGATTCAAAGCCGACCTGCACTCCTTCGACATGCGCGTCACTGGTGCAAATTTTGGGAAAACACTTGTCAGACATGCATGGGGTGGTGACTCGTTTAAGGATAAAATTGTTGGGCATAATAAGACAGCAGCATCCAATTTCGGTTAGAAATGATTACATTTTCACAGAGCGAGTAGTTTAGGTGGCGGCAGGCATACATAGGGTCAACATTCGGAGTAGGCACAGCTGAGTCTGGCAGAACAAGCACGAAGAGACGTCAAGCATGGAAGTAGAAGCGCCATCAAGTGAGAAACCGATGTACCTTGAATATGCTATGCAAGCACCACTGGTTAGGCTGAAGCGTAGAGCTGCACGCTTTGGCATGTTGTTGGAACTTTCTAAGTGCAAGGTGGTGTTGCGAGACTGGGCGGACACGTTGTTGGACTTAGCGATACACCGAACGGATGCTAGGAGTGGTCGATCGATTCATCTGTCTTGCTAGGTGCATCGTCTCTGGTGGTCACATCACTGAAGTTGCTTCGCGTATCAGCAAAGCGCGTGAAGCGTTTTAACTCTCAGTCATTTACGAAGACAGAGGGATGTCGGTTAAGCAGTCAAAGGTAAGGCGTAGAATGCTACGATACTATAGGTGCACTGTATGACGCAGAAATGCTAAACTTGCAACAGAGAGACTAAGTGAGTGATCGTCTTTGAACAGCATTGCTTGTGGAGTACTGTTCCTATTTGGCTGAGGCATCGGCTAACAGTACTGACGTCCATCAGTTGTTGACTGGAAATAACCCTGGAAATAACACTGGAATATTCACTAGATTTGGATTGTATGCGTTGGCTAGGTCATATCCTGGGAATGCCCGTGGCTCGACTCCCACGGTGTGCATTGTATGCTGTCGCTATATCGAGTAGGGCGAATCCGCGATACAGTCTTGTGATGAAGTGGTATAGAGGTATGAATATAGCAGAATCGCGTCGGAGTACGGTTTGCGAAGCCTCATGAAAAGACCGCGGAGACCAGATAACCTGGCCGTACCAGGGGCAATCTATTAAAAACAAGGGGGTTTCATCGAACTCTTCGTTAGCGCATTGAATGCATTCTCCGACAATGCAGGTTTCGTAGTACGACTATCCCTGTACCCCATCGAACGACCTGGTACAAATTCTCAAAACTCGCTAGATCAAATTCAACCCGGAGGAGGGAGAGCGCGTAAATATGGATCCGATATCCCAGCTGGAGCCGAACGAAAGCTGAAAGTAACCACACAAAAATGCTGACTGTCAAGATTCCGAAGGAACGGTGTGTTAACCACGACATACCGAAATATGCGCTTGTGGTGTTCTTTCAATTATCATGTAAGTGTAGAGCGGATGATTGGACGACGCCTACATCAATTTCATCGAAAACAGATGGAGTTCGATCCCGTCGAGAAGTTAGCTCGAAAGGGGACAACCTGAACCAATATGTAAAAGTAACACCGCTCGATTGATGGAGTGACCATAAAGTAGACAAATCTCAGAGGTTATCTTAGACAAGTTGCATCGCTCCAGCACCCACAGGAACATGCACAATACTGCAGAAAGTCAGATAATCCGCAAAAGAAGATCGTTCACATCAACTGCGAACAGCCGCGGTCCAAGGACAGAAACTTGCGGTACAATGCGTATTCCGTGTAACATTGCTCTTGCAGCAAAAAATTAGTTGATGGTGGGATCAGATACATCGCAAGAGCTTAGCTCCCATCATCATCAATACACTTTAGCTGAAGAAGCACATTTCAACTAACGTGCCGCGATAAAAATGATGCCAAGAAGAAAGGTGATACAAAATACGACACAATATAAAACCAAAAAGTAATTTCATGCTTAGTGTCCTATAACGTATCATGGGTGAGAATGTGGGTGGAGTGACATGTAAAGCTGGAGGAGACAGGACAAAGAAACTCACAACAAAATACCATTGAGGTCGGCTCTTCGCCATGTCCATTAGTGTATCTAACCAAACGTGTTCATTGGTCTTCAACCCCCCAGCCCGGCAGTCAGCAGAAACCAACCGAGGCCAACATTAAGGTAAGGGCCTTCATTCACTTTGAGCAAATCATCGCTAACGGTGCCAAACTGCCGGCTAGCTCTATTGCTAAACACGTCGTGGATTGTAGAATATACCAACGTCATCGTGATTTGTTTACAGTAATTAACCAACATAGCAATGCCCAATTGCTTCAATTTGTCGAAGCCTCAGCTATTCGGCGGCTTAAGCCCAATTTGTGCAAGCAGACTGAATTTGCTACCAGCCTCACCCTATCTTGGTGAGGTTATTCGTCATCTTTCTTTAAACTAAATAATCTCGTATATTGCTTCCTCTTTTGTACGCAACGTGATAATCTCACCAATGTGTGTAAATAGCTGACGAGAACAGTCGAAATATCTGAATTCAGCGTGTCCTGTTAAAATGTTTTTTCTTCTTGGTAGTCTGCTTGGTCTGCCCTCCTCTTCTCCCATCCGCACTTCAGTCGCGCAAATAACGCACGACGCGGAAGTCGGTGTGCTGGCACGCGCTACACGTGGCCCAGTCATCGGAGATTGGTGCGTGACATAAATGTGCTGAGCCACTCACTCGCTGTTTCAGCACCAAATACGCGACGATGAACAAGCTCATTGCTCAGGTGATGTTTCTACCAGACATGAGCCAAGCTGCTGAGACAGCCATGGTAGAACATAACTGGTCTCTTTAAACCTGCCGACTCAGGGGCAACGATACTGACCTTGAGATGCGCATAGAGACAACCGTCTAAAGTGATTTTCCTTGACTTGAAAGCCGTCTTCGACTCTGTTGACCGCGCCAGCTTGTGGCACTGTCTATCCATGAAGGGCGTGCCGGTCAAATTCCGTTCCGTTATGTAGTCTCTATACCGTGATTCCCAAAGCCATGTAAGGGTCTACGGGAAACTGCCTCCTGCGTTCCTCACGACAAGTAAGATTCGCCAGGGTTGTCGTATACCTCCTTTCCACTTTAACTTTGTGATCGAAATGATCACAAGTGAATGAGTTCTTTCACACTCTACCAGTGTGGAAGTTCTGACAGGTGACCGACTGAAAAAGCTGGAGTATGCGGATGACATAACTCCTCTTGGGTCCGACGCAGTGGATATGCGTAGCGCCGCACGATTCGGCATGTGCTTTGCACCTACAAAGTGCGACGTACTGCTGCAGGACTGGAGGAGCCCATCTCCGGTTCTAGCTACCATCGAACAGCCACTGGAAGTGTTGGATCGGTTCACTTACTTTGGTAGCTCTATCACTGCTGTTGATCACATCACTGAGGAAGTTACTTCGCGCATCAGCAAGGCCCGTGTGGATTTCCAGAGACGCAACAATATATGGAGACGGCGGGATATCAGCCTGTCAGTGAAAGGTATGGTGTATAACGCTGCGGTAAGACCTGGCTTACTGTACTAATCAGGGATCTGGCCAGTTCGCAGCGAAGACATTAAACGCTCAGCCGTGTTTGACTACCGGTGCTTGCGAACTATTGCCCGCGCCTGGTGGGAACACCGGGTGAGCAGTGCTGAGGTCCGCCAATTGGTTTTTGGTTTCTCACACTAGTGTTTACTGTAGCTTAATCGCTTACGTTGGCTAGGCCATGTCCTCCGTATGCTAGTTGACCAGGTTTCTTAGCGTGCATTATACACCGTGGCTGCACCAAGTTAGCTGAAACCGCGAGGCGGCCAGTCTATGACGAAGTGACTTGGTCAGGCTGGTTCGTGCCGTCTTCGTGGATGGGGGACTCGGGATGATCCACACCAATAGTTGGAGACCGTATCAGACATGGCGCAGTCGCGCAGTCAGTAGCGTACGTGCATTCGGTTTCTTACAGCTGGTTGCTAATTGCCGTTCCATTCTGATTAGTTTAACACACTTTCTGCTTGCTTCTATTTTCTTTACATTCTATTTGCTCTTAACCCCACTAACTTGCTGTTGTTGTTTATTACTATTCGTGCGATGTGAACCATGGTAATTCGATTCAGCGTATTTCGGTGCTCGGATCATAGTTCATCAACTGAACTGGGCGTACCTTAACGGGGTGCGACCGGTTGCGTAAGTCTTAGACCCATTGTGCTGTACTGGGTAGTGCTCCCCGGCCCCTTGGGAGCTAGTTCTACCTTGTTGGTAAATGATTAGAGGTCAGACAAACTCCTTGTCCTCCAGGTTGGGGGTTTGAAATGGGATGGCGTCCACTTCTGTAAAACCGAATCGTTACCACATCCGCTGCTTTGCGGAAAGGCATTTGAGCCAACTCCCCCATTGTTGGAATTTCTCCCCCCCCCCGTTTCCGAGTACACAACGCCGTGCCGCCTTGGGTGAGTGTTCTCGCCACACGGATCAGGGATTTAGGTCCCAGGGTATGCCGCCAAGTAGTATTGGCAAACCTTTACTAGCGGCCCGTTCCCAATTCAAGCTGGCAACCTACAAGGTCCAGACGCTGATGCAGATCGGATCACAAGCAGCCCTTGCTCGCACGCTTGAGACTACTGCCATTGATGTCTGCTGTCTCGCTGAAACCCGATTACAGG